AAACCAGGTCACTTTTCATTCATATCTGAATTATAAATTATTTCATTTTACAGTATTTGGATTTTCTTTTGAAAAAAGGATTGAAAAATTTAATCGATATTTAAATTATTTCGAAAGAGATTGAAATTTTTGTTAAACAATTTTAATAATTCTTTTTTTATTAAATTTAGGATAAGGATGATTGTGCATTGATGTTTTTGAAATTTTTTGAAAAAAATATGATTTTAATATACCAATAATCAAATCAGGTCACTTTTCATTCATATCTGAATTATAAATTATTTTATTTTAATTTATTAATAATTTAGTATTTGAATTTTCTTGTGAAAAGAATAAAGAATTAAAAAATTTAATATATTTCGATAATTTTATTTCGAAAAAGATTGAAATTTTGATAATTTTTTTTTTATTAAATTTGAGGATGATTGTATAATTAATTTTTTGAGGATTTTTTGAAAAAAGTATAATTTTAATATATCAATAATCAAACCAGGTCACTTTTCATTGATATCTGAATTATAAATAATTTTATTTTACAATAATTAAATTTTCTCGCGAACAGAAATAAGGATTGAAAAATTGTGATAACTTTTTTTTTTTATCAAATTTTACTCGGCATTTAATAGATATTGTACCATAGATGTTTTCAAAATCGAAATAAGTATTTTTGATATTTGTCGAAAAATAAAACAAAGATTTTGCTGAAATGCAATTTTCATTCTCACAAAAACAAAGAAAAATTTTACGTGCAAGCAACCCGACTGTTACGAGGTAACGTGACACGCGACATTGACGTCTCGTGACACACACGTGGTTGATGTGGCTAGTTCGCGTCACGTTTTGCATTCCAAAAAAAGAAAATGGAAATTTCGAAAAGAATCTAGACGAGATATCTACGTTCATAAATGTATCTCTTCTTTCAAAAATATTTATATCATTTTTTTCTTTTTTTGTAATTTTCAACCTGCTTATTTTCCTTTCCAATGAAAAATTACTACTATTTACACTTTTTCATTAATCTCATCTTTATCACAAAATTAAATATAAGCAAGGAGATAAATGTTATCGCGTGTAACTGATATTACTGTCATTCGCTATTTATATTAAACCAAGCTCAATTCTCACTCAGTGGACGAAACAAATCGATTGATTTATCCTTTATTTAAAAAAATGCGAAATCGTGTCTTTGCGTTTATCGTTTCCTTGTGCTTTCTTCTGCTGCCGATCGACGAGATATCGGGGGAAATCGAAAATGTATTAGACGAATCTACAAAGTATGAAAAATCGATTTTTCCAGGAAATGATGAAAATAATTCAACATCATCGAACGAAGAGTCGAATAATTTATCAGAGGCAGCGGGGCTGAACGAAGATAGAAGCAATCGTGACAAGAATGAGGAAGAAAAGGAGAAAGTCCTGACAAGCGTCGATGATGATAATTATGAACCACGATATAAGCAAGAAATCGCGATTTCTCATCGTCTGTCTGGTAGAATTGATGGAAAATACACGAGATATGGTAAATACTTTAGATGATTTTTCTTTCTCTTTCAAGAGAGAAAAATTTTTATTTTAAATTCTAAGAATATTTTTTTTAATTGAAAAATTCTTTTTTCTTGATTTTATGTTGAAATGATATAGATGATTATATATAATGTTATTATACAAGTTGTGTTATATCTGAAGAATTCTAGAAGTGAAAGAAGAAAAAATATATATAAATTGCTTGTAATTTATTTATAAGTTTATATTATTCAAGTTTTCCTGTCTTTGTCTCTTTATCTAACTTAACTTGTTTATAAATAACTTATATTTTTACAGTAGCAATCAACATTTTGGCCTTTAAAAATTATAACTTTACAAAGATATTCCATGAATATTAAGAATCTTTGTTCAGTTATTTAGTTACTGAAATGAATTATTGAATTTGTATCACGATTCTATTTCCTGATATTATCTGAATTAAAAAAAATTTCATTTCGATTCCATTTTTACATTCAGTTTAATCTACGTCAATCGTACGCTTTCCACGAAATTTCATTTTGATAATTTTGGATACAATATCGATATTAATTCAAATCTGCATGACCTGGATAAGAGAAATGTTACTCCAAATATAAAGTTTTGTTATTATTTAGTTTTCTCAAATTGACGTTTCATAAATATTTAATTTCTTAGTGTAACTGGTGTAATCAGATTTTTGAATCGTAAACGATAGTAGTTGTCATCGACGATGATTATCACAGTAAAAAAAAAAAAAAAAAAACTATAATATCTGTTTTTACAGATATTTTTTTAAAA